GGGCCCGGGGGGCAGCGCCCAGGGCCCCGCGGAGGGGCCGGGCGGGGGCTGCGCCGGCGGCAGCCGCTGGTGGCTCTGCCAGAGCTGGTGCAGCTCCTTGAACTGCTCCACCATCCTGTCCTTGAGGTCGGGGTGCGAGATCTGCAGCGGGATGCTGTCGGCCGACCAGGAGAGCTCCCCGGAGAACATCTCCAGCAGCAGCCGCGCCGCCACCGGCACCACCTGCGGGAGCCGCGGGGCGTCACCGGGGCAGGGCTCCCGCCCGGGGCGTCACCGGGGCAGGGCTCCCGCCCGGGGCGTCACCGGGGCAGGGCCCCCCTGGGGCGTCACCGGGGCAGGGACCCCGCCCGGGGCGTCACCGGGGCACGGAGCCCGCCCGGGGCCCCGCGACAGCCGCGGGTCGCGGCCCTCACCTGCACCGTGATCAGCTTCTTCTCCTTGGGCTTCTGGTCCGGCCACTCCTCGCCGAAGCAGAGGAAGATCTCGAACGGGGGCGGCGTGGGGGTCTGCCCCTTCTGGAACTGGATCAGGCCTGCGGGGCCGATGCCGAGTGAGGGACAGGATGGGGCCTTGTGCCTGCCTGGGCCACCACCGCCCCACGGAGGGCACCCCCGAGAACCAGCTGGTGACCCCATCCCAGCTCTGTCCCCCTGTTCCACCAGGTTCCCGTGTGCCACCTGGTGTTTCCCCATCCTACCTGGTGTCCCCGTCACACCTTTGTCCCCTCATGTCACCAGGTGCCCACGTGCCTGGTGTGTCCCACCCTGGCTGACCTCTCCATCCCAACCCACTGCCCTCAAGGGACATAGGGCCACCCCCCTTCCCCTCTGACCGTTGAGGAAGCCCTCGAGGCTGAAGAGCTTGGTCCTTCTCTCCCTCTGGATGGGGTTGGGTCCGGGCCGGGGAGCGGCACAGGGCCCTGTCCAGAAGACTTTGCACTGGCAGAGCCGGACGGCGAAGAGGTCCTGGCCCTGGAGCTCCAGGATGAGCCCTCGGTCCAGCACGTCCAGCAGCTGGTGGGTGTAGAAGCGCTGCTTCTCGTTGGGGATGATGTCAGGAGCAGGGAAGGGCACCTGCTCCAGCGTCAGGGGCCCGAAGAGCTCCTCCTGCTCCCGCGTGGGCTCCAGGCTGCTGTGGAACAGCCGGCAGCCGTGGGGGTTGCTGACGGTCAGGGCGCTCACCTGGTGGCCCCGGTACTGGAACTTCAGCTCCAGGTCAGTCACTGTCGGGGGGCCACGGGGTCAGTGGGGCCAGGGAGCCCCCAGGGCCGCTCCAGCCAGCCACCCTCATCCATCCCACAGCTGCTCTGTGCCCACGGCCACCCCAATCCGGCCACCCCATGGCCACCCCTCACCCAGTGACCCAGTGGCTGCTCCCATCCGTCCCATGGCCACCCCACACCCATCGTCACCTCTGTCCCACCACCCCGTGGCCACCCCAAGCCTCCTAGCCACCACCTGGCCTCGCCGCACCCATGAGACCCCCACCCAGCGCCCATGCCCCCCGCCTTGCTCACGTGGCAGCATGTGCGGGCTGACCAGCAGGTCGGGGATCAGGTGCTCTGTCGGTGCCACCGGGCAGGCGGACGAGGGCCCCGGGGGGCCTAGGGGGGGCCCCATCTCGGCCAGGGCCCCGGGGAGCAGCTCAGGGGCCCCGTGGGTGCCCTCTGCCTCCCCCTGGAGCAGTGCCGGGGGGGGAGGCCCGAAGGGCCCCCCCGGGGGGCAGTGGTTGGCAAAGGGGGGAGCCTTCTCCTTGGGCCAGGGGTAGGGGGGCAGCAGGTCCTGCTCGTGCTTCTTGTCTGGAGCAGAGAGGGCGTCAGAGGGGGGGTCAGAGGGTGCACCCCAGCCCCCCTGACACCCCGACCCGCCCTGAGCCCCCCACTCACCATCGATGCTCAGGGATGTCATCTTGTGGAGCTGCAGGGCAGAGTGGGCGTTACAGGGGCACCCCTGGCCCTCTGAGGTGCCCCTGGTTTGGGGATCCCCCCACCCTGTGTTGCGAGCCCCCCAGATACCTGGCTGACGTCTTCCTCCCCACTGCAGCCATAGTTATCCTCGTCCCCCCCGTCTGCAAGGGAGAGAGTGGCTGGGAAACACAGAGGGAACTGGGGGGTGCTGGGGGGGATATTGAAGGGTTCAGGGGACTCATGGGGCACTGAGGCTTCACGGGGGGTCCCTTGTGGGATGTCAGGTCTTTGTGGGGTGCTGGGACTTCGGGGGCTGCTCGGAGGGCTCCCCAGAGCCGCCCGTACCTGCGCCCCCGGGGGTCTCCTCGCAGAGCTCGTACACGCGGAAGGGCTGGGCCGGGGAGCCGCGGGGCCCGTCCAGCAGCAGCCGGAACTCGCGGCTCTTGTTGAGGGCGCAGCGCAGCGTGGCCTTCCAGCGCGGCGGGTCCGGCGGATCCCCGGCCCGGAACCGGCCCGTCTCCTGCGCCCATGCCTGTGGGGCGGTCAGCGCCCCCCACCCGTGTCCTGCCATCCCATCCTCCCCACCTGCCAGGTCCCCCTTGCCACCCCGCACACCGTGTTATGCCATCATCCCTGTCACCCCCTCCTGTGTCCCTCATCACCTATCACCCTGTCACCCCTGTCCCTTGTCCCCCACATCCTCACTGTCACCCATCCCATATCCCCACTGTCACCCATCCCATGTCCCCACTGCCACCCCATCACCCTGTCACCCCTGTCCCTTGTCCCCCACATCCCCACTGTCACCCATCCCATATCCCCACTGTCACCCCACCTCCCTGTCACCCGTCCCTTGTCCTCCATATCCCCACTGTCACCCATATCCCCACTGTCCCCCATATCCCCACTGTCACCCATCCCATGTCCCCACTGTCACCCCACCGCCCTGTCACCCCCGTTACACTTCTCCTGTACCCCTACTGTCCCCACACCGTGTCCCCCTTGTCACCCCTGACACATCCCACGTCCCACTGTCACCCCCGTCCATGTCCCCGGTGTCACCTTGAAGATGGTGTCGTGGTCCTGGGGCCCCGGGGGGTTCCTGGTGGCGTGTCCCCAGGGGATGACGAAGCGGCGGCGCTCGGGGTCGAGCCAGTGCAGCCCCGGGAAGCGCCGGCTGCTCACCTGGGCCACCAGCCAGGGCTTGAGGCGCACCCGGCGGGGGGGCTCCATGGCCTGGGGACACCGGCGGGCACGGCGTGACCCCGCGGGCCGCCCCGCTCCCGAAAGCGGAACCGGGGCCCGCACGGCCCCTCTGGGGCAGCCCCGGTTCCGCTTTCGGGGCCGGGAGGGTGCGTGAGGCCCCCCCGAGCTCTGTCCCCCCGTGGGTGTCCGGGGGCGTCACCCACGCCCCGAAAGCAGAAGCTGCGGTGGCTTCAGGGAGAGAAAAGAGGAGCTGAGAAGGAGCGGGACAGGAGGGACAGAGGGGAGAGAGGGACACAGGGAATGTGCGACGTGATGGGGACGGGGGGACACGGGACAGGGGACACGAGGGACAAGGGGAGGACACGGGATGGGAGACACGGGGACACGGAGCGGATAAAGGGAGTGTACGGGACAGGGAGCACGAGGGATGGGGGACACATGTAGCGACACGGGGGGACACTGAGGACACGAGGACGTGGAGGGACATGGGAAACGTACGGGAGACGGGGGATATGGAGAAGGGAGGAGGGACACAGGGGTGACACGAGGAGACGGGGGACGTGGGATGGGAAGGGGACGCAGAGACAGGGGGTGGCACACGCGGGACGGGGGGACACGCGAAGTCCCGGCCGCGGTCCTTGCGCAGTCACGGAAGCCCCGCGAGGGGCGATCCCGCCCACTCCCCTCGAGCCGGGGGTCCCCGCCTGTCCCCCCTCGCGGGGCAGCGCCCACGCGTGTCCCACGGACGGGCCCGGCCGCGGTCACCGCGCCTGGGCACGGCGTGTCCGGGGCTGCCGTCCCCATCACGGACGGGGCACTGTCCCCGCGTGTCCCCGCGGCTCTTCCCAGCCATCGCAGCATCTCCCCGCCACTGCACCCCCTCCCCACGGGGACCCCCCGCGCCCATCGGGAGCGGCCCCGGGTCTCACCTGCGCTCGGGGCCGGCGCCGGGGCCGCCGCCCGGAGCTTCCGCACGCGGGGCAGGGCGTGGGCGTGGGGCGAGACCGGCCGGGACCGCCCCGGGACGTGGGGCGTGGACCGGGGCTCCCCGTGTCCCCACAGGACCCCCCGCCCCGTGTCGCCCCTCTCGTGTTCCTCCGGGCTCCCCCCACGTGTGGCCCCCGTTGTCACCCCCACTTTCCCCCTCCTTGTCCCCCGTGTCCTCCCCCTGTCCCCACCCTCGTGTCCCCTCCCGGGTCTTGCCCCATCTCCCCGGCTGTCAGCCCGCACTGCTGGCAAACCCCTCATTAACATATGCTTTGCATATATTTGCATGCACAGTGCCTATTTCCCTCTCCACGTGACGCGCGGGGATCTCCGCGGTGGGCGAGAACACCCGGGCGCGCTCGCGGGCTTTGATTGGCTCCACCCGCTGTCATTCATCAGTGGAGGGCCCCGCCCCTGAACCAGATGTCTGTCAAACGAGGGGGCGTGGCTTAGAGGGGCGTGGCCAGGGGCGGGAACTCAGCGGGGCCGGGCCCGTGGGCGGTGCCGGTGCCGGTGCCGGTCCCGGGGGGCGGTGTCTGTCCCGGGGGGCGGTGCCGGTCCCGGTCCCGGGGGGCGGTGTCTGTCCCGGGGGGCGGTGCCGGTCCCGGTCCCGGGGGGCGGTGCCGGTCCCGGGGGGCGGTGCCGGTGCCGGTCCCGGGGGGCGGTGCCTGTCCCGTGGGCGGTGCCGGTGCCGGTCCCGGTCCCGGGGGGCGGTGCCTGTCCCGGGGGGCGGTGCCGGTCCCTGTCCCGGGGGGCGGTGTCTGTCCCGGGGGGCGGTGCCGGTGCCTGTCCTGGGGGGCGGTGCCGGTCCCGGGGGCCGGGGCTGTTCTGGGGCGGGGCTGCTCGCATGGCGCCGGGCGCGCCCCGCCGCACGCCGGGTTCCCCCGGTGCCCCCCGCGCCCCCCCGGTGCCGCCGGTGCCCCCGCCCCGCCCCGGGAGGAAGAACCGAAGGAGGTACCGGGACTCCCCCTGCCCCGGGACCCGCCGGGGACGGGACCCTGGAGCGCTGCCCTGCGGGGCGGGGTGCGGATGTGTCCCCGGCGGTGCCGCTGTCGGGATGGCCCCGGGGGGACGGAGGGGACTCGGGGGCCCCGACGAGCCTGGGCCGGTCTCGCCCGGTTTAGCTTGCGGATCTCGGGGGTTTAATGTTATTTTTCGCCCCGATCTCGGTGCGACCGCTGGGAACGGGAGCGGGGCTTTCTCGAGAGGAGCAGATCCCACTGGATCCAGGCGGGTGGTGCGGGAGCAGAGCCCCGTGGATCCCGGGGGAAGAGGAGAGCAGATCCCGGTGGATTCCCAGGGAAAGAGGCTCAGGTCCCGTGAGCAGGGGTAGGAGCGGAGCCCGTGGGTCCCCGGGGCAGAGGAGCCGGGGGATTCCCGGCTGGATCACCGACAGCTCTGCAGCTTGTCCCACCGCAGTGCCCGTTCTCGCCTGTCCCTGCTCTTCCCGGGATCCCAGGTGATCCCAAGGGACAGCTGCAGCCTGTGTGAGCCTGGCCGCAGGCCAGGGCCTCATCCCAGATGGGGAGAGGCAGCAAAGCCACCAGTTATGGGGTGCTAAAGGGATATTTCCCCCAGGATCCACCCTGGTGTCTGCTCAGGCCTCATTGGGGGTTTCTGCAGAGTGGGATCCTGGGGGTGTGAGTGGCAGCATCGAGCATCTCGGCTGGGATTCTGGGAAACGGGGACAAAATGGGGGAAAACCTCAGGGTTTGGGCCATCCTGCAGTGGCTCCTTCCACCCCAAACCGATGTTGCTGCCGTCGCATTCCCGACACGCTGCTGCTCCGCTGGGTTGGGGTTTCCTCCCAGCCTGGCACAATTCACCCTCTGCACTCTGTATTTTTCTGGAAAGAGAAACCGGAATAAATCTCCGGATCACCTCGTGGCAGTGGCCATGAGAGGGAGCCTCGGAACTGCCCACGCGGAGCTGCTCCGGGTGCTGTTGGATGGGATTCCCTGGAGCTGGGCTGCTGCTTCCCCGGCCAGTCGCTGCTCTGGGTGCCATCCCCATGGACTGGCTTTTGGGGCTACTTCAGGCGGGTTTGGGCCATACAGGGAGAGCCTGTGGGAACGCAGCTCCAGGCTCCAGTGCTCTCTCCTCCCTGATCTGGTGGCTGTGGAGCTGGGACGTGCTGCCAAGGAGCTGCCTGGGATGCTGGATCTGTTCCGGGATGGAGGTCCATCCCCGCAGCTCCCCAGCTCTGACCCTCCCTGTTCTCCACGGCAGCTCCGAGTGGACGATCCAGCGGAAGCTGCGGGAATTCTTTGCCATCCCGCGGTGCCTGGTCAGCGTGTTCAGCCTGTTCCTGGTGGAGCTGATCCGCTTCCTTGGCGAGGCCGTGGTCCAGGTGAGCCGCCCTGCAGAGCCACGGCCGGAGCAGCTGCTGAGGATGGCAAAGTCCCTCAGTACTGGGAGGAGGAACCTCCATTTCCCACTGTTGCACGTTTCCTCTCCCATAGTGGAATTTTTGTGTCTCAGCCCATGTTTGGTGACTCTTGCTGGCAAGTATCCCTCAAACACAGGATTTCACCCCAAATCCAGGCGCTGGTGGTCGGTGTCCTGACAGCCATCGGCGACCACGTGCTGAAGCCCTTCCTGGCGGCGGCGTTTCACAGCCTGCTGCAGCCACTCCTGCTCTTCCTGCTGAAGGTGCTGGGTGGTGTCCGGGACCTGACGGATCCTGTGCTGGACGTGGTGGCTCGGGTGTGCTCCCAGCTGGCCGTGCTGCTCCGCGCCGTCCGGCTGGTGGAGGTCCGCCTGCGCCCGGACCTGCGGGCTGGCCCTGGCGATGGTGGCGGATGAGGACAGCCGTGGGTGGCCAGATAAGATAAGGAAAAAGAATTCCTGGGAATTGCAGAAGAGCAGGACCAGCTGCGGCCCAGGAGACACCGTTGTCTCCACGTGTGTCCAGGCAGGGGGCAGCTCATGGTGTGCTGGGAGGGCAGTTTGGATCTTCTAGTTCTGCAAATATATCCTTAACTTAATTAAATTCCAATTTTATCCATTGTAGCATTGCTCCAATGAGGTGTTTTTCCTCTTCCTGCCGGCGGAAACTGGGCTTCTCACTGACCAGGACTTCCCTGTGCAGTCTCTTGCCACCAGATGGGCTCCACGGCTGGGGTGGTGCCCAGGGCCTGAGCCTCAAGCACTGCTGGGAGGGGACGGCTTCTGCCAGCTTCCAGCTCTCTGGGATGGTCTCCAGAGCCGGTGGTATGGGCCAGACTGGGATCACAATATAACAGAGTAACCACCTCTGGGTTCCGAAGAACCGGTTCTGGCGCACAGTTTGGGTCGCGTATTTCCGTCGGGATGAGGCGGCCAAGGAGCCGAATGGCGGCAGCAGAGCTCTGGGTGCGTTTCACAAACACTTGGAGGGGTCAGGGGCGGGACTGAGCTGTGTTTTGGGGCTCCCCCTGCCCCCAGCCTCAGCTCCCTCTGCCCTTTCACTGTTCCAACAATGCTGTCTCCTGGGAGCGTCTCCCCCGGCTGGCGCAATCCCCGTGTTCCCGATGATTCCATGCCCAAAGCCCTTTGCTTTTTATGGGCAGGAGCAGCATGTTTGGAGCTTCCCAGGCTGTAAGATCATCCGCGGGCCCGCGCCGGGGCCGGAGCGCTCCTGCTGGGGGCCAGGCTGGCCGGGCTATTTGGGGGGTGCTGAGTTCACGGAGCCGTGACGGGATGTTCCCTTCCCTGGGCGCTGCAAGGGGCCGGGAGCTGGGAGCCAGCCCTGAGGAGCTCCCCGGGCTCGGGTGACCAAGGGCAGCAGGAAGGGGCCCTGAGAGCTGCCGGGCATGGGAGGCGGCCGGGCTCTCTGGGACAGGCAGGGCCGCACGTGGGCACAAACAGGAGCCGGGCAGGGACCGAATCCAGGACGTCCTGCAGCAAAGGCACCGTGCCAGGACAGCCACACGCAGGGTCTGGAGCTCCTCAGGACACCGGGGACACACGATTGTCCCTGGGAACTTCCACCCTAGCCGGGCTGCAGGCCTGGCTTGACCACTGCTCCTGTGACCTTTCCCTGACGAAACAAACCGAGGAGGGAAGGGCAGAATTGATGGGGAGGTTCTCATTGCATTGATTTAGTTGGCGAATCATTTTAATGTCTGAAGTGGTTTTAATCAAATTTGGCTGCCCCGGACCCAGGAATTCCCGGGTATTTTCTCCTTTTTGGCTCAAGCTCTCCCAATCAAAGGCCCAGTAAATGGAGAGAGCTGGGAAAATTCAGCGCCCGGGATGAGGAGAGGCTGATGGTGTCATCTTTGACCTCCATCCGTCATCCTGCAGCGGCAGAGGAGGGCGGAGAAAGCCCCGGAGCTGGGCGCCGCTGCCTGCCCGCAGCCCCGTCCCGCCGCGGGATCCCGGCAGCTCCCGAGGCGGCGGAGCCGCAGCCGGGGCTCCCGGAGCGTGGCGGGGGACGGGCGGTGTCCCGGGGCGGGCAGGACAAGGCTGGGTGACCCGCGGGGCCAGCGCCGTGCCGGGACAAGGACGTTTCTGGGCCGGCAGCTGCCCCGCATTGCTGCTCCCTGAGATCACGGCTCCGAGCCCCGAGCGGGGCCATCCGCCCGTCCGGGCTCCGCGGTGCCCGGTGCCCCGGGCAGCCCGGCCCGGAGCGGAGCAGGGGGCGCGGGCCGGGATCCAGCCGGGAGCGGGGCCAGCAGCGAGCGCCTCGGTTCTTCCCTAAATAGCCGGCGGCGGGCGGAGGATTAGCCGGGGCATTCCTCGGCCCACCGCCCTCCCACGGCCGCCTCGCTGCTGAGTGCCCCGGCCCTCGCCGGCGCTCCGGTCCCGCCGCACGCCGCCCTCGGAGCCCCGCGGAGCCGCCCGCAGCGCCGAGCCCGGCCGCCCCCGCTCCCCGGGCTGCGGCCCCTGGGCTGTGCCCGGGCCCGGCCCCGCCGGGGCAGCCCGGGGCGATCAGAGCCACTGCCCGGCCCGAAGGGACGCGGTGCCAGCCGGGGACAGGGCAGGGGACACTGCCTGGGGACAGAGCCTGGGGACAGAGCCTGGTTACAGGGCTTGGGGACAGTGCCTGGGGACAGTGCCCGGGGACAGTGCCTGGGGGACAGTGCCTGGTGACAGGGCTTGGGGACAGTGACCAGGGACAGGGATCAGGGTCAGGGCTTGGGGACAGGGCAGGGGACACTGCCTGGGGACAGGCCCCAGGGACAGTGCCCAGGGACAGGGACCAGGGACAGGGCCTGGGCAACACTGTGTGGGCCCAGCTCTGGTCTGGCTCTATGGGATGGGGCCAGCTCTGGTCAGGGGTCTTTGGGATGGGGCCCAGCCCACCGTGGGGCTCTGCTCTGGAGTGTGGGGCTGAAGCTGTGAGGGAATGTCCTGTGCCTGCAGCGGGTCCCACAGAGGGTCACACCAGGCACAAGAGCATTAGGATGGATGGATGATAGATGGATGGATGGATGGATGGATGGATG